ATGGATTAATATTTAAAAATTTATATATAATAATAAAGCTTTTTGTTTACAAAAATAATAGATCTTTTTATAAATAATATCTTCCTAATCCAATACAATACATCTTCAAAAACAATGTTTGAACGGTTGAATTAAATATTTAAAGTGTATATATAAAGTGTATAATATATTTGTAAGACTATTGTTATATATATTATATATATTTATTATATATTTTTGGTTTTAAAATTTAAATAAACAAAATATAAATAAATATAAACATAAGTTAATATATAAAAATATTGATTGAAATTTAATGAATTTTAAGCAATTTCAGTTTAGAAACAGCATATGAGAACAAAAAAAAAATAATCAGATGAAAAAGATAATCAGATCATTAAAAAAAAAATTAAATTAAAATTAAAATAAATGCAACAGCATAACAATGCAAAACAATAACTGATTATACATTAACAATCATCACGTTTATTATGTTCTTATCCTATATCGTTACTATACACAAAGATAGAACTATTTTATTTTATTTATATTTAGCTTTGTTTAAAATAAATTTTAAAATATAACGCTCTGTATATTACAGTTCATTTATTATCTTATATCAAAAAAATAAAAGAATCTAAAAAAGTATAAGAATTAAAGAAAAAAAAAATATCTTTACATAAAAATACAAAATATTAAAAAGAAAAATTTATTATTCAAATTTTTTTATGAATAATTTTTGTATGAATAATTATCATACATTTTATAAAGAAAATCAATTTAAATCAATTTGAAAAATTTCGAAAGCCAATCGACATGAAATTTAGAAAGTTGGTGAAGGAAAAAAGACGGGAGAAAGAAGAGAAATGGATTGATAATGCTTATCATTGAAATTTTATATGAGACATTCTATAGTACGGATGATATATGATATATAATATATGCCGATATCATTGAGCATATATCATACGTTATTTAACAATCAATGATCGTTTGTATTATTATATAAACATAATTCTATTAGTATTATATAAATAATAATATTTGGTTAAGCAGCATTTGTATGTATTCAATGTATAATTATGTTAATATTAATTAAAATAACTAATTAAATCTTATTTAATTAATATCTTAGAAAATAATAATTATTGAAAATTAAAATATTTCAAGTCACATTACTTTCCTCCTTCGCCAGTATCCCACCAAATTTTGTATCGATCGACCGGAACTACAGCTTTCTTTTTAATTAGAATATAAATTAATTTTTCAATTATTTAATTACTTTATTTTATAATCAGAATACAATATTTAATTAATTTATTTTATAATTAGAATACAATAAATTAACTTTTACAAAAGAATTGCTTTCCTTTTAATCTATAATTTTATTTTTCCATAAAATATCAGCACAAAGGCAATTGACATCGCTTATTAAGCATATTCTTATGCATAAGATCTTATTATTTTTTAAATTTCAAGATACATAGCGCCACTTGCATCGTTTTTTTCGTTCTATTTGTTTATTAAGTTTATCATTCGTAATTGCATTAATTCTTTTTGATATTTTTTGATATTATATATTTTGATAAAGTATACTCTCATATTCATTATATATAATGTTTCGAAACATTAAAAATATAATTAGAAAAGCTTGATATCAATTCGACATTTGTTTCATATTTTTTTAATATTCTTTATGTTATATTTATATCAGTTTGAAAAAAATTTATATATTTAAATTAATATTGAATATTTTTTTTATAAATATACATTTATTTTGTATAGTTATAATAAAATTTATATTATTATAATAAAATTATAATATATAGTTATTGTTTTGATCTTGTTTTATGTAAAAATAAGAAATAAGAAATATTTAATTTAATTTAATTCTGATTGGAAGAATTAAAGATTGGATATAAAAAAATTGTATTGCCAATTTTTATTTTTCTTTCCTTGTCATATATAATAACTATTTGGAAAAAGATATAAAATTTAAAAAATAATAAAATGTTTTAAATTATAACAATTGAATTTTGTACTAAATGAAGCGAGAAATATAAAAATATATTGATTGTATTTTATAAAATTATAAAAATACAAGACACAAATATATTTTTAAAAAATATGTAAAAAAAAATATGAACTGTTTCAGAGAATATTATTATAGTCTAACATAAGATAATTTTATGAGTCATATCTATAATAGATATCTATAATAAAAATCGCGATATACAAAGCTTTGTGTTATGAATTAAAAATTGTATTATGAAATATGCATAGCATATAATGATACACAAATGGGAACTTCATATATATATATTCAATAATTATTATATCTTTAATAATATTATATTAATAATATATTATTATACTTCAATAATAATTTTATTTTTTTCAAAAATAATGTTTGTTAGAGAGGAAATATTTACTTTTATCCTTAATTTTGAATCAATCTATGCAATGATGAAACATAATGTTCCAATTTTCTTTATAGTAATAGAATTATATATTATTGTATTAATTGTTTTTATTATTTATAAATCATAATAATATAGA